GATCGCGATGGCCCGCATGGCCAGCAGTCTCAGAATTATGCGGACTATGAGCAGTATGAGGAGCGCGGTCGATCTACGCAGAGGCGCTCAATGGAGGGCAACTTCCGCGAATCCCGGGCTCTCGGGCTTGGTGTTCCTCAGCAAGACAATAAGAGGCTTTCAGTAGGATTGCGGCCTCTGCCACCTAACGAGGTTATGGAGTTCGAGGACCCCGAGGAGAGAGCGAACAGAATCCGATCCTTTTACAAGGAGTATTTCGATGATTCCAAGCCCCCTGGCGAGCACAACATGCCTCCCCCTCACCACCAGCAAGGCGGTCCCCAATACTACGAGGATTACGATGCTGGCTACGGCGGTGGCAACGACGCCTTCTACGACCCGGCTTCCAATTCTTTTGTCATGCCATATGCCCAACCAGTGACAAGGCGCGCGATGACGCCGCCACCCAGCGGATCGCGCCTGCGAGGACCTCCTTCTCGAGGTGTGCATGGGTCTATTGGGGATATGAACATGCCTCGCGGCAGGCAACAAGGCCCGCACCGTGCCGGCACAACGATGTCGAACGGCAGGGGGGGAACACCTACACGCCCAGGGTCCTCTCTCTCCAGTGCCTATGGCCAACCACGACCTGGTTCATCCGTATCCAACAAATTCCAGCGGCAACCGAAACCTAAGGGCCCACCTCCCACGGCTCTGACCACGCTACCTAACCCCTCGAAGCTGAGGGACGACAACATGGCCTTGTTGGGTGCTATCGACTTTGCGCCTCCAGAGAGCTACGAGGACCGCCAGCGCGGTCGCTCCCAGAGCCCGGCGGGTGAAAGGCGGCCGTTCGCGCCCAAGGTGCCCATCGCCTCGCCTCTTGTCAGCAGCTTTGAGGAGATGGCCGCAATCCCAAGCCCGCACTTGCTCCGAAAGTCGAGCACCTTCACGGCGCTTGACTTCGCCCCTCCCCGCAAGTTCCAAAACGAGGATAACATGAGCGATGCCGGCAGCATACGTAGCAACCGCAGTGGCATCTCGGCCGTCCAAGCCCACGCCATCCGCAGTGGCGCCGGTCGCGTCAGCCGTCTCCCAGGCGATACAGTCTTCACGCAGGCCAGTCTCGAGACGACGCTGAAACCCTCTTGGGGTATGCGCACGTAGGCGACTGACCTATTCACCCCACGTTCCATAATGGGTTGATACTCCGGCAGCGCCGGTTCATGAAGCGAGCGGCATCGGCACATATTGTTCTCAATTACGTACATGGCTCTGACTCTGCGAGGAGGGGGCGTGTTTTGTTGCATCGGCATGGGAAGACGCTTCGTCGTCCAGCGGCGCACTCTTTTTTCACCACAAGCGACATACCTGGTAATGTCTTTTTTATTTCTTGCGGGTTGGGTCACACTACAGACAAACATCACATACACACACCTACCGTGATTGGAGTATTCGGATCAGAGATGATGATGCTTTTGATCTCTCACGGGCTTTTCTGCATATAGACTGGGGCCTGAATTGTCGAAACCAGACAAAAACAGACGGTGAATACAATCAAGACACACGCGCTTGCGTGACTGACAATTTCTTGCATTTGCGACTCGGATGTGCTTGGCATGTGATGTTGACGGTGAAATCGCGTGTTTGTGAGGCTCAGGAGGAATGCCTGAATAGCTGCTTGTCCCGGAAACGCGCTCAACTAAGACTCCTGCCTGTGTACCTTGCAGATCCGGGACGCGTGACTGGCGGCTGATTTCACTGCATGGTGGGCACTACACAATAGCCACGCCGAGAAGCTGAAGTCTCAAGCGAGGCTTGCTTCGGCTGTGTGGAAGCTTCAGATCGATGGTGGCTTTCCATGCCCGTTGTGAGAGGACGGCGGCCAACCAACCACTGAGACCAGCACCTTTCTTAGGGGCGGGAGGCTGCTATTTTCGTATCTCAACACGTTCGGGCGGGTGGCGTAACCGCTTGGGAAGGGCACTGCCCCCCTCCCCCGACCAGCGTTGAGGTTTGTTGCGGCTGGTCCAGGCGTTGTTGCAGTCGAACGTTGAGGAATGTCACTTGCAAATCAGTCTTCGTGGAAAGCAAGACTTGCGATTGAGAGTAGGCTTGATCAGATAGGCTCTAGGCTGCCGCTCCGGTGTGAGCGACAAGCCCCCTGTGGTACTACAGACCGGTTTGTGGCCCGTTTCAAGTACTTCCCTTCCCCTTGATCCGATTCCCGTGATCGGATGAAGGCACGTCATCTGGTGGGACGTGGGCTGGAATGCGGGATCGCGGATCGGTTATGCGTGTGGTGCTTCTCGGGATGACCTCATGTTTGGGGTCCTTCGCTTGCAGGGCCCGAACGCTACTGACCAGCTCGCAAGAGAGGCTGCAGATGAGGCTGGCTTGGACACCCGAGGCTCGCCGGTGAAGGGGTTAGTGAGCGTCCCTTGGGAATACGAACACAAAACATCTTCTTGGTTTGCCACTGCCGTTGCAGGTCTTGGCGGGTAGCGGATGCCGAGAGGAGACTAGGCGGCGCTGCGCTGGAGGGATCGGCGGCGTGTGCGGATCGAGGGGGATCGGTCGCGGGACGGCGGGGGAAGAAGGTAATTACGGGCTTGCCGCCTGAAGAAGAGCATGCTGTGGGAGCTTGGTAGGAGGGGTTTCGGAGAGTGGTTGGTCTACGAGAATGTGTCTGTAGGCATTCAATGGGTTTCAGAGCTGCTTGATTTACAGGCCTGGGCAGCGAGGCATGATTGTGCTGTAGGTGGTTGCGATGGGTCGGATTCCCTGCGTCGGTGCGCTGGTGCGAGGTCCCGGTGCGGCGTAGGTAGGGCGTAGAGGTATGACTCGCTGCACTGACAGCGGATATGGACAGGCTACGGACCGATGTCTGGGCCACGAACTGCCGCCATAGTTTCCGCAGCGACGGTAGAGCGATTGCACCAGATGGCTTTCTTGATGAGCTAGAGCTATTGAGCTACCATGATGCTACGTGCGTTGAAGCAAAAGATCCCAGTGCAGGATTGGCTCGCCAAGGCCAGGTGTCTGAGTTGTGAACGCGTGAAGAACATTGACGCGACTAATCTCAATCTGGACAGCTGCACTCAGTGACGCCAGGTGCATGCATGTGCAATGTGCAGCAGATGCGGGTGCCGACCAACACGAGGTCAGTCAGCAGAGAAAAATAGCCCGTTCGATGCATTCACCAATGGAATGGAGCGCGTGTTCCTTCGACAAATCCAGCACTTCGGCCTAATTGAGACGCGGCTGCAATCGAGACTCCCAAGTGACGATTGATTCTATGCCATGTGTCAGTTCAGCCTCAGGACAGGCAGGGCACCGAGGACGGTTCTCGTGACCATGCTCCTGCCTCGGCCATCGGCGGATAACAGGACGTGTTTGGTCAGCGAGAAAAGGAGCAAAGCCAAAGCCGTGCGGACTTTGACCCCGGTCCTCTGTCATATGGGGGGTTCGGGGGAATAGATATAGCGCAGGGGTCTTTTTTTGCTCTCTCTTTCAGAAGTCTATCGACTGCTTGCCCAACGGGGACGGAGAAAGCGGGCATCCTCGTCGTCATTGCCCGTGCGCTCAAAGACAAGTATAGGGCAGAATGGGTGCACGCAATTTCCCCCAATGTCGCCTCGCTGCACCGGAGCGGGCTCATCCATGGGGCATATCAGGTCACTCACGGACGCAGGCTGTCGGTGAAGGGTTTCTGCAGGCGACGAGTGGTCCTCAGTCCGCAGTGGGTTTTTGAAGGGAGAGGTCGGCATGAATTCGAGGGCAAGTCTAGCATAGGCGAATGGAGAACCGGCCCTCGTGTGGTGACGATGATCCTCTTGCGTGAAAGGCTTCGAATCCAACCTTTGTGCACCTTAGGTTTCCGACGGCATATACCTTGTACAAGTACACAGTGTGGAGCTCATGTTGTTTCTCGTACCTGCCCGGGCTGGAAACGGGCTGTGCACGAAATGGGTTGGCAGTGCCACCTGAAAGGGGTAGGCCCTAGAACCCCTTCGGGGGCTTGGGGGCCTGACTCTGCCCTGGCGCTGCCCTGTTGCCCTGTTGCCCTGGCGAAGCCTTGTCCAGTAGATGCCCGAGGAGCCGAGCGTGGGAGCACTTGGAGCACTTTGAGCGCCACACGGTGCCCGCTTTCCGTCACTGGTGGGTGCTTGGCCTGGTCTCTCCTGCCCTGTCCGTCCCGGCCGCCTTCGTCTTTTGTGTGTCTTGTGTCCTGCGTCTCGTGTCTTGGCTTGGGGTTCTGCTTCCTGCTGCTGCTGCCGCTGCCGCTGCCGTCGCTGCCACTGTCACTGCCAGTCTGGGTCCCTTAATTCCCTCTCCTGCCTGCCTATTCCGTGCCCCGTCACAGCCAACCCGAATCATCCCATCTCGTTTCGGTGCTTCACTTTTTCTCTCCTTTCCTTCCCCTCGTCACTGTGTCCATCGTCTCGACCCACGATCTACAAACCCGATCATTGCAGCGCCCGACTAGCAACGCACACCCGAGCCAGCCATTCGCCGACCAGTGAACGTGCGAGACGCAGTCGCGCGACATTAGCACTTTGCACAACAATTGCTACCGGCCTTCCGTCTGTCGAGAGAGGTCCCATTCTCTAGACACCAACCCGACCTTCCGCCCCTCTGACGATACCGACCTATTCTTGGCCACGGCGTCTTGAATCGTACCCTATCGGCAATCGAATTGAAAGCAAAAACGTCGCTTCGAGTGGGATAGGCAAAATCACGGTAATTGTGCCTCGTTCGTTCCGACGCCACCCTTCACGCTTGTTTGCCCACACGTGTCTCCGCGTCCATACCTTTGGGTCGGACCAACTTGCTCTGCAGCGTGCCCTTGCAGCTCTTGAACCACATCGAGGCCTTGTTTGCTCTGCAACGTCATTCCAACTACAAAATCTCATCCGGGTCGCGTCACTGGTCTCTTTTACCTCGACACGTTACACGTTGGCTGACATTACCAACGTCGGCAGAATAATCGTTAATCCAAGCCGCGACGAATCTCCATCATGTCTGACAACACTCAATCCGCGGCGCTGCCGTCGGGTTCCCCTGCGGCTTCGCCCATTGTTAGCACGCCCAGTGGTGCCGCTACCACCACCCCAGCCAACCCCGCAACTTCTCCTTCGACCACGGCCGGCGGATCTCCAGCTCCCGTGCCCAGCAGCCCTACTGCTGTGGTGCCCTCCCCCTCGACGCCTCCGGCCCCAGCAACGACATCGACAACATCACAGCCTCCACCCCCTGCGCCATCTACGTCGACTTCCGCCCCTGCTCCGCCGCCCGAGCCTAGCACGACCTCGACGCCCCCGGCTCCCGAGACGACGACGCAGCCTACCACTTCTGAACAGGCTCCCGCGTCGACGCAGATTACCACTGTTGAGTCTTCCGTTGTGACCAACCCTGGCGGCCAGACGAGCACTGTTATTCGCACTATCACTACGACAGCCCCTCGTGCGTCGACCACCAGCGAGAGCACTGCGGCGACGAGTACTGGAACCAGCGGTCCCATCAGCCCTGGAGGTGGCGGTGGTGGTGGCCTCAGCAGCGGCGGTAAGATCGCTGTCGCCGTTGTCGTGCCCATTGTAGCTGTCGCCCCTCATCATTCTTGCTGGTCTGTACTTCTGGCGCAAAGCGAAAGACCAAGAAGGATGCTGAGGAGGAGCGGCGCAAGGAGGTTGAGGATTACGCCTATAACCCGAACGCTGATCCGACGATCCCCGCCGTGGGTGGTGCCGGAGGTGACGGTTCGTATGAGATGCGCGAGGATGCCTCATCAGCCGGTTACCGCGGCTGGGGCACCACTACTCTCGCTGGCTCCACCGGACGCAAGGCGTCGACCACCATGTCAGGCGGCAACACAGGTCAGGCTTACTCGGACATCACTTCGCAAACCCACGGCAATGTTTCTGACACACGTTCAGGCGAGCACCTGCTCAACGAGAACCAGTACGGTGGCGATGGTGAGATTCTCGGCGCCATGGGTCCTTCCGCTGCCCTGAACCGCGCCAACGGTGTTCAGCGCGGCCCGTCCAATGCCTCTTCCTCTTACAGCGCTGCCGGCCGCTCTGACGGCTCGAGCGCGGCCGAAGGTATCGGCATGGCGTACAGCGGTGCCGGCGGCAACGGTTACTACGACCAGTACGGATCGAGCAACCCTTATGGCCAGGACGCTTACAACGGTGACGGGCGCCCTTCCGAGCTGCCGGGGCAGCCCATCATTCAGGACAACCCGGCGCGACGCAACACGCGTATCGAAAGCCCCTCGCACTACCCGCAGCAGAGTGCGGGTATCTCGCAGAACTTTTAGTTTCGCGCATTAGAAAAGAAGAGATCGCTCAACACCGCGCCTGTTGGGTTTCTTTTTGTTTCTGAAGATACCCCTCCACAACCCCATCGGGCATTTCGGTCTTGCCGATCGAACACAAGGCGTTCGAGGTCTTACGGGTCATGCGTCACACGCTTACAATACTATCCATTTTTTCACTAATATCGCCAACACGGCTCCACCAACCACACCCCATGTCTACAATCTGTTTCTTTTTCAAACGAACATACAACACAGCGCATGGCGCACGACTATTTCTTTACAATCTGAGGGTCTCGTCAAGGTGGCCAGGAGACAGTTTTCAGGACACTTTGATGTTACTTGATGTTTGATTTGGTGTATATATGGAGAGGGGAGGAGGCACTTTTGCACTGCGCCTGTGGCAGGGAGAAGTTCTACGCTCTGAGAAGCGACTGTTTGCTCACATAAAAGCAACGCGATATGAATTCTTATTTTGTCTATACAATGCGGTTCTTCGTCCCACGTCCTCTCGTATCTGCACCGGTTTTACTTTCACCGCGGCTAAAGTCTTCTCTCTCTCGGATGCGGGTGGGCTCGTGTTCGATTGGGCCGACAGACGAGGCTGTCGCGCCAACCAGCTCCGGCATGATCCCCCCTAAACCGCCGGATACGCCGCAACGGGTAGATGCTAGGCAAAAAAAAAAATCAAAAAGAAAAAAAAAATCTGTTCACCCTCCAACCCCACGCACACCCGCAACATGAATTCCGCTCCCGAGTCGGGTTGCAACAACAAGCAACCTGCCTGCCCGGCTAGCTCAATCGGTAGAGCGTGAGACTCTTAATCTCAAGGTTGGGGGTTCGAGCCCCCCGTTGGGCTCAATTCCTGACGCATCTCGTACGAGACCTTCACTTTTGCTGTTTTGCATCGTGCGCTGTCTGTGTCTGGACCAGCATGGTAGTTTACTTGACCTTGGCACCTGCATTGCGCTTGGAACCTGAGCCTCGGTATCATGAGGTGTTGTTTGATGTTTGTCGTTCTGACGGTGCAGAGAACGATGGCTGTATGGAGCATGATAATGGTGCATGTCGACGTATAAGAAGAGAAGAAGGGTTCACGATGTAAGAAGAACAAGCTGAGAGTTATTGGATGCTCACGCTCGTCCGATGCCAGGGTTATCCTGACGAACGTTGATCCAGAGATGAACAGTTTGACATGACCATGCGCAGAGTCAGGAGAGATTGTACGAGTATTAACCATCATTGGGGTATCGTCGGCGTGGATAACCATCCATATCTAGTCCTACAATAGTGTCCCTCAGCTTGTTGTTTCCAACCACACCCGAGCGACTCTTCTCCGTCCCGAGGACCAACTCTGGCGCTTCATCCAGATTTACAAATCTCGTACAACCCCACCAGCCTGTCATCCAACAGAACCGGAGGAGGCGAGGGTCCAGCACGGCAGAGGTCGAGTGCACAAGGAGTACAACCAGGCCAAGCCCCTAAAAGGCTGGCCCCTCCGTGAGACCCATCATGCTCTGCTCGTTAAAGTCGACCCTCGTCTTCCACGCCTTGCTCTCGAGCTCGAGCCTGTCCCACACGGCGAGGCCCTGCCTCAGCTTGTCCTGCTTGGCGTCGAGTTCGTGGCGCAGCTTCTCCTCCTCAGCCTTGAGCTTGCGGTAGTGCGACTCGAGCTCGCGCGTGACGCCGAGGCTGGTGGGCAGCATGGCCGGGTCGATCTTGCCGCCGGGGATGATGGGCGGCATGCCGGCGAGCATGCTCTGCGCGAGGGTCGGGCGCGCGTTGTGCTGTGCGCTTCCGCCTCCGCCGCCGCTGCCACCCCCAGAGGGACCCGTGGGTGGGTTGAAGGGCTTCGAGGTCATCGAGGGCGTCGGGGGGCCGGACGAGTTGGCAGGGTTAGAGCGCGGGCCGGTGGGGATGCTGCTGGGGCCGTTGCCCTGGCCGAGCGTGGGCGAGGGCGAAGTGATGGGGGCGTGCCGTGGGGGAGGGGGTCCGTTGGACCAGCTCCCGCGGCCGCGGTTGCTGAAGCTACCGCCTCGGGGCTGCGCGACGTAGCCTCGCGGGCCGGCGGGAGGAATGGTCGGGCTCGTGACTTCGGCGCGCGGCGGAGGGCCACTGGGGGCTGGCTGGGCCCGAGGGGCAGGAGTGGAGGATGGCGAAGCTGCGGGTGCGGTGAAGTTTCGGCTGGCTGCAGGCCCGGTGGGTGGCGCGCGCAGAGCGGCTGGTCCGCGTGGGGGCGTCTTGCCGCGAGGAGGCGACTTGCCACGGGACGGCGATCGGGCGGCCGAGGCAGCAGGAGGCGGAGGTTCCTGTGGTGCGGGTTTTGGACCATCTCGAATCGCGACGGAGGTTGCGCTGCTGGGCTGCTGAGGCGTACGTTCCCGTTCTCGAGAGTGGGGACGCGAGCGAGGTCGCGCAGGTTGTGGGTGAGGAGAAGATTTCCCAGATGCTGATTGTGAGTTTATGGCAGACGGCATAGCCGAATCCCGCGGCGGCGATGGGCGCCTGTTGAATGGACCTGACTGGTATCTCTCACCCCCGCGACGGCTTGGGCTTCGCGAACGGGCCCGGAATCCGCCAACGAGGCCCCAGGGAGCCCTTCTTCATTGGGCGATCTGTCGAGGGGAAGCCTCTGTCACGGTTCACGAAATGAAAGGGGAAGCGGGACCGTCTCCCTGGGCACAGCTGTCAGCGCGATCATAGCTAATTAATTGACAGACGTTTTTTCATACCTGTCGTCCCGTCGCTCAAACGGTCTGTCCCTGTTGTCACGCCTCATCGGCGACCTGGGGCCTGTCCATACGATCGTTCCTCATAGCGGGCGACCTGCCCAAAGGTGTTCGCCTTCCCGGACGGACTACGTTTGGGCGGCCGACGACCGAGCGCCGTTACAGGCTGCGACTCCTCTCCCTCCGCCTCCACGTATCACCGCCCCCACGAGGCGACCTGTCCCTCAACGGCCGAAAGCGCTCGGCACTTCTAGACCTTCGGCGCAACGGGGAGCGTCCCATCCTGGGCGGCGATCTCCCGATACGCGGCGGTGACCTTCCTGGTCTTGGTGGCGATCGACCAGGCCTCGGCGGTGACCTCCCAAGCCTCGGAGGTGATCTTCCAGGTCTGAGGGGTGATCTCACAGGCCTCGGGGGCGATCTCCCAGGTCTCGGTGGTGATCTCCCAGGTCTCGGCGGTGAACGACCCATTCTCGGCGGCGGCGAGCGGCCAGGCCGCCCCGGAGACCGGCCAGGCACGTAGCTGTCCGAGATGAGGGGCGGGCTCCGCGGCCGCTCTCTGTCCCTGCCACGATCTCTGACGTCTCGATCTCGGTCACGGTCTCGATCCCTGTCTCGCTCGCGATCGCGATCGCGGTCCCAGTCGCGGTCGCGGTCACGGTCTCGGGGGGGAGGTGGGCTGCGGGCTCTCCGGGGGGAATGGTCGCCGCGGGGAAAGGGCCGCCATGATTCGCCGGCGCCATATCTAGTGACCTCTCCATCCTCGAACCTAAAGTGCACGCATGAGTATGGGAACAGGCAGGCCTTTTGGGGAGATGTGGCCGGAGGGAAGGACGCCATGAGGCAGGCTGCTTACCGGTTCCTGCGATCGCGATCCATCGTTTGGTTCGCACGATGGTGCTTCGCACAAGCGGTGTGTCGGTCTTCTTCACTAAGTAGTTTTTCGTAGAGTTGATTCCGAAATGGTGTTTGATGGTCGAGAAGACGTGTTCGCGGGGGGGGGTTAGTGGTTTGAGTGCGGTTTCGTCGAGGTATGGCGGGTTGACGAGGTCGAGAGGACCAAGTCGTTGAGGTTCCTGAGAGTGGATCGCCGCGTCAGGGAAACTTTTCCCTGTAGGGAAAGAGCAGGGGGCTTATCAGACGCGCCGATAAGGAAATGGCAGCGGTCCGTGTATACCTGCCAGGAGTACTGTACCGTAAGGTCTTACACCTGTGAGCAGCTGATGGTCAGGTCTGTGTTCACATTTCTTTATACTACCTATTCATCAAACAGCAAAAAGACATGAATCCGCATAATCACGTTCCGCACAATCACTTGCGCAAAGTCAAGGAGTGTCTCTTAGAAAGCCTCAGTCAATTCCATGACGAAATGCTTGACGGAAGCCAATAGGTGTATACGCACAAACTACCCATCCCCCCTCATAGTGCAGAAATGACATCGCAAACCAACTCCATCGCCTGGCCACATTCCACTTGCAGCGAGATTCTCTCCAATCTCCAATCTCGACTCTCTACCTCTAGCTCATGACATCTTCTCGTCGTCTGTCGTCTCAGGTTTGTTGCTGGCAATGGCTTGCAAGATCCAGGCTTGGACGTCTTCCGCGTGGAGCTGCATCATCTTACTGAGGCCGTTGGTCGGGCTCCGCTTGACCGAGCCGAATCGCCGCTTCTGCACCTTTCGCGTCAAGTCCTCGCTCTTCCAGCACAAATGGTCGCTCGCTATGTACACCTGTGAGTGCTCCTTGTACCAGGCTGACAGATCTGGATCCACGTCTGACTTGACGGGACGGAGCGTGCCCGTGACAAAGTTGACAACACCTGTGATGCGCGGCTTACAATCTGCAACTCGTTAGCCCTGTCGGCCTATCTTGGTCTCGCGCTCAAATATACCTCTGCCCATGAGGAGGACCTTGACTCCCAGGTAGGCATTACCTACACCCATCAAGAAGATCTCTGTAGCGTTCTCGTAAAGCTGGATGTAATTGTCCCACAGATAGCAGACCAACTCCTGCAATTGGGCTTGCATGATCTTCTCTGGCGAGCGGGGAATAAAAGCATCCGTGTCCTGAGCTGCGTCAGTATGGGGTGCATGGTGTGTGGCTGCCCTCTCCATGACTCACTTCTTCTTGAGGCAACGAGGCTGGGACATTGATGTCCATGACGCCGAAACCCTGGCTTACTGCCCAGTCGATGTACTCGACGACCGGATCAACCTGTGACAATCCAAATCAGCATGAGCCATGCCAGTAGACCTCAAACTATGCTTACAATCCACGCGTTGTGAGACTCCAGATGGTTGTCATGAGAATCAGGTTGGGCAACCAGTTGCGGCCTGTAGGGTCAGTAAAGCAATTCATCAGTAGGGCATGATGACATACGGGTCATGCAGAATAACCAGAAGACGTTCTGTTTCTTGCAAGTTTGGCGTCACCAGCACTTGGTTCTCATACGCCTTGAAAAGTACGTCTCGCTGGATGTAAAGCGGGATCATGTTGTGACGCGTCGCGAGGTCCTGCCGCTGTCCGAGTCTAACGTGGTCGTGCAAGCGCGTCGCATGCTGGTCCTGGATATCAGCCACATTGACGATGCCGGGCCGCATGCATTCCCAGTACGGCGCTTGGTATGCTTGCACCGTGGCCAAGACTCTCGCCGCATCCCGGTTGATCTTGGGGATCTCCATTCTAGGGGGCGGTTCGCCCATGAGCGTCCGGGCGACGGCGACGGCGGATGTTGATATCGCCCGTAGATTGTAGCCACCTTCGAGACACACGGCAAGCTTGCCGTCGGCGAGAGACATGAGCATGTGCGTCATGTGGGCGTAGCACGGGGGCGTAACGAAGCAGCCACCGAGCTCGTCGCCGTCAGCGGCATCGAAACCTGCCGAGATGACTACGAGATCAGGGTTAAATTCCTTTGCGATGGGCATGATGATCTTCTGGAAGGCAGCCATGTATTCGCCGTCGCCCATGCCTTGCGCGTGCCAGCCAATGTTGATGTTCTTGCCGAGACCAGGACCAGTACCGCAATGCTCCATACCACCATCCGGTACCATGGGGTTTTCAGGCTGGCCGGGGTAAAACTGGCCATTCTCATAGACGTGTATGGATATGTAGAGAACATTTGGATCTTGGTAAAAGATGTTTTGAATGCCGTTGCCATGGTGAACGTCCCAGTCGAGCACGAGGACCTTGCGGCAGATTTCGGGGTATTCCTGCTGGCAGACCTTGACAGCAACTGGGACGTTGTTGAAGAAACAAAATCCAAGGGACTGATCGTACTCGGCATGGTGTCCTGGCGGCCGGATGACAGCGAAGGCGTTCTTGACATTGCTTTCGACAACCTGCTTGCATGTGTCGATGGCGCCTCCACACGACAGCAGTGCTGCCGGAAAGGAAAGACTGCCGACGTAGAGAGAGGCACGGCCCTTGTCGAGCTCGACACTGAGGGCACGAAGTTCGGTGTAGGACATGGTCGACAGGTTCTCTACCCAGGCATAGTGGTCTGGAGTATGCGCGAGGAGAATCTCTTCCTTGGCGGCCTCGCGGGCCGCGATGCGCCACATGTACTTTGTCGGGGTGTGTTGGACAATTTTGGCAACATTGGCTTCGGGCCCTGTGTAGAGCAAACCAGCTTTCTTGAAAGCCTTGATGATCTCCTCTATGCGACGTGGGTCCTCCGGGTGGTGAGGATGAGAGGTAAAGTCGGCGTTACAGTGCAGCTTCATCCGATCATCATAACAACATCCTGTTGGAAGTTGACCACGACGGCGCAGCTGAGATACGACAGTGGCGTCCTCTGAGTCCTCATATTCCTCATCATAGCCTTCGTCATACTCCTCGTCGGAGGAAGTAGTGCCGTTGACTGAGGGGCCCTGATCTGGAGGAGGCTGGGGCCCTGCAACACCGTTGGATCCTGCGGCATCGCGCATCTGCCAGTCCTCCCCGTCCATGGGGGCGTCTTTCTGCATCCGTCGACCTCTGGGACACCGGGGACCGGGAGCTTTCGAGAAGGGAAGCCTCCGATTCCCAGGAGGATCGATCAGATCTGGGGCTACGCCAGTGATGCGCTTCGAGGCTTGAGGAGCTGCAGGTACGTCAGCACATCGCATGTTCGCAAATTGGAAGGCCGATATTAGACTGGCGGCCTTGGTCGAATGATTCAACAGCTAGTGAGTTTGTGACGTTGGTAAAGTGTATACACTTGTCTCTTCGCAAGCTCGCGCAACAGAGGCGTTGATCGCGGAGCGAGTGTGTATAGGACATGGATGCAAGTACCAAAGAGTATTATAAGGCACAGATGCAACAGAGAGCTCTCGGGTACGAGAGGATGCGTCACTGAGAGAAATGGTAACTTGTGACTGACCTGGTAGACAATGCGGCCTCCTTTGACCAGAGGAGCTTGATTGTTAAGGTGTACTTGTCGTGAATCCCATTCCGGGGTCAGATGGACGCGCAACCCTTGATAAAATGTGAGTATTTCGATAGGGAGAGGGAAGCTCAAGCTGCGTCGAAACAATTTGCGACAAATCTATAGCAGCGCATTCATCGAGCTCGAGCCGCAGGTAGTACTGGAGAGGTGAAGGTGAGTGTGAAGGTGAGGGCCAATCCGGGACAGGAAGCTCAGGCGCGGCTACCACCTGGGGCCGCCAAGGCAAGTATACAGTGTGAGATGCTCGACTGCGGCTCTGCCAGACTGTCTCGTCGCGTTGTACCGACTTCTACTATCCGTTCTTTTCCTCCAGATTCAATGCCCAGTTTCTCGGTTTCTGGAAAATCAACTTAATGCCTATCCCATTCTTTCTTCTCACACCACCTTAGGTACCTACCTAGTCAGGTACCTATGCATCACATTGACCTCGACATTATGGAGTCGTTGCCTGGCTCATGAATATGCTCATATCACGTGATATTATGCCTGACAGCTGGGCCCACCTGTCTGCCCCTTTCTCGGCCGTCAAGGTCCTCTCCATCAGTCAGTTTGACATTGGATTGTGACTGTGCTACATGAAAAGGCACCCTAGATATCTTGCTGCCTACCAGAGTCTCCGCCTACACCGCATTTCCACTGTTTCCAATATCAGTACGACGATGGCACCACTGCGACCCGGCCACCATCCGTAAGGAGGACGTTCCCGTTGATGTAGCCTCCCGCACGGCTCACCAGGAAAAGCACCGCACCCGCCATGTCCTGTATGTCGTCAGGTCTTTCCTCAGGAATCACACTCTTAGGCCATGGTTTATCGCCTTGCTTTGCGAGCAAGCCCTCGGTCATTTCACTGGGGTAGACTGCTCTTAGATCAGCGCGTTACCTGTGCGCGGACTTCCACGCCACTTACATCCTGGCGCAATGATATTCGAGCGAATATCATAAGGGACCAATGCTGTCGAAAACACCTTCATCAGATGCACCACCCCGGCCTTGGAGCTGCTATACGCATATCCTGCCAAAGGCTGTCGGTTGAAGGACGCAACGCTGGCTGTTGCGATGACTTGACTTCTCTGCTGCACATGGCCGCGCTTATTGCCAGCATCCAGGAGCTCGAGGAAGGCCGCCACCGTGTTGAAAACGCCCGTGTTGTTCACAGCGAACGTGTTGGTGAACTCGTCCGAGCTGGTGCTCCAGAGTTTCTCTCTGAACTGTGACAGGCTTGGATTCGCCGGCAGTCCCTCGAGCCCGGGGCCTGTGATGCCTGAGTTGGCGATGACTACGTTGACAAACCCGTGAGCTGCTGTAAGCTCCTCCACGGCTCGCTCAAGATCCTTCTTGTTGGTCACATCTGCCTGGATTGGCTTGATGTTGCCGTGTCTCTTGACGTCCTATCAGCAAAGAGAGGTTTTGGCCTGTTGCATGCGACAGCAGACGAGACGAGACTCACAGAAGTGCTCGCAGCCTTATCGAGCGTCTCCTTGCGCCGGCCAAGAATATAAACGATAGCTCCGTTTGCTTCCAAGGCTTGAGCGATCATGAGACCAATACCTGCGGTTCTCGTCAGAGGTGATACGATATGGCATGGCTAGAGGCACCATACCACTTCCCCCACCAGTCACTACTGCGACAAGATCCTTCACACCGAACAGATCGGTCACATCAATTGGTGCGTTGTTCGTCATTGCAGGAGTCCCTAGGTGATGCAGGTGGAGTTGACTCAATCTCATCGACGAGCGTCCAACCTGCCATTTTATATTCGGGTTTCCCCCCCAATAAGTATGCATGATGGTGACATCGAGTCGAAGCTTCTTGCTCGCATATGCCCGTCTTGCGTCCGGACTTCCGACGATGTGACTCAATTCGCCGGGGGCCATCCTCACCTGTTGACCTACCAAATAGCTTCCCTCTGCATTACAGCACATGCAGCTTGATGGCTGCACATCAATTGTTGACCAACTAGACACTACCAGTTAACCGGCTACCTACTTTTTTGTCCCCACAGTCCCCATCCTGAATGACAATCACTCAGCTATCTACTCCAAGCTCTTTCTTCAACGGCGGATCGAAGATTACTCCTCATCGTCGTCTTGCGGGTTCCAATTCCCGATCGCCCCAAATTGTCACTCCCTTCCCTCAATATCAATATCATTAACACATGTACTGGCCGCGCCACATTCGAGTTCAATCCTCTACTGCACGCATCGGGGGTCTGTCGATTCTCGGCTCACCGTATCGACCCCGAAATGGCCCTCCTCGCCCCACCATCGTGAAGTGGAATCGAAGAACTTGCCCTCCCCACAACTGCTCCATTGAGATATTGTATTGCACCAAAAAAGGGTCTCGTCAACAATTCATTCCGATTAGTCTAGTGGTTAGGATATCGGCTTGTCATTTCAAGGACGTCTGTCGTCTGATGTTCGCCGGGGACCGGGGTTCAATTCCCCGATCGGAAGATCTTTTGCCTCGTAGGCTTTTGACATGAGATTCAATCATGGTAAGCGTTTGGTGTTAGATGCTTAGTAGTGATGGTCCAGTTCTTTGGCTCGGAGACAGACAGGATAATGGAAGGAAACGCTTTCTTGAGTGTTCAATCAAGTCCTTGAATTGGGAATACGGCAAGATCAACAGAGCCAGACGCTACGAGATCGATGTGAATATCTCATTCAACTCTATACATCTGACGACTCTGTGCAGAGGGTTGATGAATCTACTTGACAGGTCGACATGGCTGATTGTACTCCTAGAAGAAGTCGGCAATACTAAGTCCGCACCCGATGACATCATTACCTCAGCAAGCACGGGCCCGAGGCTGAGAGTCACCTCATCTCGCGTCGTACTACGCGTCTCCCTGAAGCCAACTTCACCTTCTGAGTCAACTGCTGTGCCTCTTTTGCATCTTTGAGACGCCCTTCGTCGCTTCATCCTGTAGGCAACCATGGCTCTCCAGAAAGGTCACAACCCTTCTGTGCCCGCGCCTCAGCAGCGCGCCCAACAACAAATGACACCCTCCGGCGTTGCCAGCCTTTTTGATAGCCCCAGTGCTGGGGTGATTGAACAGTAGGCCAATACGTCCATCGTTCCTTGTTGATTACAACATCAACGAGGGACACCTTGAGAGCGCCGACTCTCCTTTGATCTTTAGATCTTGTCTTCGCGGCTGGCTTACAAGTCACAAACGGCAAGACGCCGTCCGATAATCGGACGATAACGAAGCTTTGCTGCTCGAGTACCTTGTTGAGGACGAGCCATTGAAGCCAAGGGTAACCACCTGAAGCCTGAAGAAGCATAGAGTGGTATAGAGAAGACTGAGCCCTGATCAAGAATGTGAGTTTGCTCACAACGATCTTGGTGCCTTTCCATGATTAACCTCTGGGCACAGATAGAAACATACAGCTGCCTGCATGATCCTTTTTGAAGCGTTGAAAAACATTACAGTATTCACCGCCAGCACCAAGAACACTCATCACGATTGCTCGCCAGATTTCCGCGTCCTACAGAAAGATGGCTGCAACATACTCTTCCCGAGTGGGGACCTCCATCCCCACTCATGACAAGAAGTCCACACCGAAGGTGTCCGGGACTTTGGACGGCCTTGAAGGCCTTCCGGTGGAGATTCTTTTCGACATTTACCATCATCTCGATGTCGAGAGCGTCTTCCTCTTGGCGCAGACCAACACATTGTTCTACGGGCTTCTGCACCGCAACCAAGCCCAGGTCTTGCTGCCGATCCTCCAACGGGACTTCAGCCCATTTCATGAGCTCCTGCAGGTCTACACAGCCTCTGATGACGACTTCAATGACCATGGCGGGACATTCCAGCCCCGCAGGATCGTGTACAGACGATACCCCGGCGACTCCGTTGGCCTCACTCTGTCGCGTGGTGGCATGTCGATGAATGTCCAAGCTACGAAAGAACTCGTCAGTGTTCTTGGAGCCGACAGGCCCACCACCGCAGTCGTACTGCCCTCCCCTCGCACCGCCGTGCTCACGCAAAGGGACCTGCGACCTCTGCTCAAGTACTGCTCTGTCGTGCGTAAATGGGAGGAATTGTACCCTCGTTTGCACTGGCTTGCCGAACCGGAAAGCTGTCGAATCCTGCGGGACCGGGAAAGAGAGAAGCTCCGCCGGGCACTCTACCGCTGGTGGCTGCATGCGCGATACTTCCACGGTGATGGCCCACGGCCCCGAGGCGGCGAGCCGGAACCTTTTGTCCATGACATTCGGACCAGCCAAATGCGAATGTATTCCACCAGTGATCTTATGGAGCTGAGGGCACTCTTTGTCTCGGTCAAGAATATGATCCGCCACTACATCTACCCCAACCTGGAGCAGAACATGATCGAGGTGAGTTGCCCATCTGACCCAATTATCAAGGGCGCGGCTGATTTATTGCGACAGACCGAGGACTCTACGCCCCTGGAACAAATGATCGAGCGCAGCATCTGCGAACGTATCGTCGACACATATGCCAAGCTCGATCCGGGGGAACTGATGTTCTACTTCGACAACCTCTACAGTTACCCTCGCAAGAGACTCGTCAACGATGTCAATCTGCGCCATCCGACCTTTGTCCACGACCAGGAGTCTCTGCAAGCTGCCATTCGCTCTGCGGTTAATGAACGGCGGTGGCTGGATGGCATTGAGCAGCTCGAGGACCTTGGGAGCATCGTTGGGGACCCGCGACAAGTCAACACCAAGTACAGTGGCGATGGCAGTGCCGATGCCTCCATTCCTGCGCCGGGTGTTATGCGACGTTCCCGCAACGACTGGTCACCGCCTGGCGATGATGGTCGTGCTTTGACTGAGCGTGGTCATCTGCCTGCTGTGCGCATCTGAACGTGCGTCACCGTGTATGCCTGGGCATGCTCAGGGCGCAACGATATGCAGATGCCGTTGGTAGTTGTGACCGGAGGACGGAGCCAGGGTTGAGAAAGAGGGATAGATAGTTCTCATTTGCACATGGGCAGCCTGTCAGCATGACTTTACAACCTGGCATGTCAATTAAAAAATGGATATGTCGCTGTGAATCCCCCGGGAAACCTGTCCATACTAAATTGGCTGATTGTGATTTGCGAGCCATTGCGTCAAAGCTACCTTGCGTGCCACGCATCAAATAAGCAAAAGAAGAGCATTTGCCGAACCGCAACCGCCGCACCTGCAGATGACCGCAGCAAATCATAATTCAGACAGGAGGATCGCTGCCACATGGCTTCACACTCGTCGTTGACTACACGCTCACCATCACCATAGCCGTACCTCGCCCAGTGTGTCACTTGGTATCTTCCTTTCTATAATCATTACCCTACACCCGTTACGCGAAAAGCATCTTGTGGTCCAGGGCGTCGGTCGGCTGCTTCCGCCCGCCGTTCGTCCGCAGGCCGAGATCGCCCTTCTTGTTCAACCTCTCCGAAGTCTGTTCCGCCCGCGCGCTGTGCCTCTTGGCCGCCTTCTGCCTCAGCTCGGCGCGCACCTGGTTGGGGCTGACGAACTGCTTGTTCTCGTAGATGACGGGACCCCCGAACGATCCTTCCAGAACTGTTGTCATGCGTTAGCCAGTCTCGTGTCACGCAAGCGGGGGTTTCAGCAGGTTGTCCCATCGCATGGCAAAGCGGCGAGGACAACCCCCAGAGCCAGTGCTGCAGAACCAGAAAAGAAAAAAAAAGGGGGACCTACTGAGGATGGGAGTCAGGACAGCCCGGGGGCCGATCTCGAGGAGGGAGACATCCGTGGCTTTGAGCCCGCGCGCCTTGCCGGCGGCCTTCTTGCTGCTCTTTGTCGCCTCGTCGAGCTCCTCGCCCTCCTTCTCCTCCGTGGCCTCGACCTCCTTGATCTCGTAGTTGCGTATCCAGATCTTGCCGTCGACGATGCTGAAGCCCATGACGTGGTCGATGAAGGGCTTCGCCTTGCGCGCGCCCTGGGGCACGCCAAAGGTCTGCGTGAACATTTGCTTGATGACCTGGAGGTGGGGCTCCGACTCGAAGGCGGCGTCAAAGGAGAGCAGCGGGCGGGAGCCCTTGAGGCAGTTGCCCGTGAAGTGGAGCTCCTCCATGGTGTGCACTGTGGATGCGAAAGAAGATGCATGCGTTAGCTAATTTTTGATTCTGCATGTTTGTTCGGCCGGGCGCTCATGACAACGATGCGACGCGCGACTGAACGAGGGGGTGGTGGGAGGCAGGACGTACTGTTCTGGACGTGGAACTTGATGGTGGGACCGTTGGGGGGCTTGGCAAAGTGCAGGTAGAGATCCTTGCCCTTGCGCGCCTCGCCGAAGATGATGTTGTTGCAGTTGTACATCTCGCAGAGCTCGTTCAGCTCGTAGAGCCTCGTCTTGGAGTCGAACTTGGCATCCTTGCGGCCGTGGGGCATGAGGCTGGCGAGATCGTTGAGGAGGTGGCGGTGCCTGTCGGGGGCCAGAGTGTTAGTATCGACCATGGCCCTGGTGTCCGCCATCATGAGAGGACCAGAGGCGCCGAGACTGACCTGTATGTGACGCCGCGCGTTGACAGGATGAGAACCCTCTGCTTGTTCTTGCGGACACCGTTGGCGGGCGCCTCGACCTTGGAGGCGCTGCTCTTGTTGAGGGACTTGTAGACCGACGCCATCGGGGGCAATTGGTTGAAGGAACGATTTGAGGGGTGGTTTTGTTCGGCGATATCGTGGGGCGTAGGCGACGGAGTGTCTTGTTCAATCTTACTGTCGTCGTCGGCCGTAAACCAGCCTTAGCTTTTCTCCAATGCGAAGTTCGTCGGTCCAAAAAAATTAGACGGGGCCGCTGTTATCGCCCGATAAGGAGCAACTGATGTGGTGGGGCTGACAGACAGAACGAGCTAGACCCAATTCAGACTAGACCTGTCCTCGACACCAAACCCCTTGTTTGAGAGTGCCTGGCTATTGCTTTGAGGGGGGGAAGAGAGTTTGAGAGGCTCTGGACTGTGGTGTGGTCGATGACGCCTCGGCTGGCGCAGCAAAGATATGTCACGAGGGCCTTCAGCACAGTGTCGTAAACCCCGAGATGCAGACAACCTTGTGCGCTGTGGAGCTCTACATCTTATCCTCGGTGATAGATCAATTGCGATGAGTGACATCCAGCCCGATTCATCATACGAACATGGGCACCATGGTTAACTTCCACAGGGGTGTCCAGGGCGTCTTCACGATGTGTCGTCATCTCATGCCAGGCTGTCTGATGCTACCCTACCTTACCTTAATTATGCTTCTCTTGCCTGGTCGGAGTTCCTACATGATGCAAGACAAACCAGGTCCAGGCTGCAGCGGAAGACGCGCACATTGACACATTAAACCATCTTCATTTAAGTAGGTACGTAGGCATGCCTGGACGATCGTTGAAAGCATCAGATCCCTAAAAGCCCACGCGGTCCGAGAGGGGGAGGGGAAAGGGAGGAAGAGGACAACAATAACAACAAAAGGAAAGGTCAAGACTATACTCCGCCCCCTCAGTAAAATCATGAAAGAAGACTCGTGCATTCCTGGTCATTCCTCGATGCAGGCCACCCGTTCACCCAGCCAAGTGACGTACTATTCCGGGACATATGTGTGAGACGCCATGATATCGTAACGAACCCGTGCCAGCCCAAGGACCTTGAGAAAGCTCGCAAGCAACAACATGTGACGGCCTCTTTAACAGCACTTGCCACCCTTGTCCGCGTTCTCGTCTGCGGGCTTGCTGAGCGACAGGCTTGTGCCGGCAGCGATGTTAGCCTGCGCGCCGTCGCCCGAGTCGAGAGCTTTGCTAGATACGATCCGGTAGATCTCTGTGAAGCAGGGCGGTCAGTCTTCGTTGGTGGTCACAGGGGGCATGCCCCGCAAAGCTAGGCAGGCAGCTGAGAGCGGAGGGCACACAGCGGATCATCGAGGGGGAGGGGAGCGCAGCGGCGCAAGACCGTGGCAGCACGACGTACCAGTCAGGATGTTCTGGAAGGCCAGCTCGACATTGCTGGCATCGAGGGCAGACGTCTCGATGAAAGAGAGGTTGTTCTCGCCTGCAGGGGGGTGTTAGCCAATTATGGGTCGCAATGCTGCTCCGTATGCAGGCTACACCGCAACGAGGGCATCGACGTACTGGCAAAAGCCTTGGCCTCCTCAGTCGGCACGGCGCGCAGGTGACGCAAATCGCTCTTGTTTCCGACCAGCATGATGACAATGTTGGCATCGGCGTGGTCGCGCAGCTCCTTGAGCCATCTCGTGACGTTCTCGTAGGTCTGGTGCTTGCTGATGTCGTATACGAGAAGGGCGCCGACAGCACCACGGTAGTAGGCCGACGTGATGGCGCGGTAGCGCTCTTGGCCGGCGGTGTCCCAAATCTGTGCCTTGATCGTCTTGGAGTCGACCTGGATGGAACGGGTGGCAAACTCGACACCGATTGTCGACTTGGAGTCGAGGTTGAACTCGTTTCGGGTGAATCGACTGAGAAGGTTGGACTTTCCGACGCCCGAGTCACCAATCAGCACCACTAGGAAGGACACGGGTCAGCAAGCCGTCGAGTTGCGGTCGTCGGCTGGTCGTCGACGGGTCGTCGAACGGAATCGCCTTTGTCGCGGCCGTCGTCGCCATCGCACGGCAAGTGGGTGCACACCTTTGAAGAGGAACTGTGGACAGCTTCAAGTCAGCACGAGCCAGACAGACACACAAGGAGGGGCGGAGGCGTGGTGGGGGACGATCCATCCAGGGATCCGTGGCGGTCTACGGAGACTCGGACGGGTCGACTCACGTCATATTCGTCGTTGGCCATGTTGGGCGATAGAAGCTGGCGGCGCGATGTTGTGAGAGGGGTTGTCGATGGATGGATTGCAGGCAAAGGCGAAGGGGTGCGCAGGGCAAAAGGGTTGGGGTTGAATTGCGAGGTATGGAGGCCGAAGCCAAGTGGTTCTACTGGCTCGAGGCGGGAGAGATAAAGGCGGGCGGGTGAGTTTCTAGGTCGAGTGCAGCGCAGGAGAACGGACCTACGTAGGCGCCGCAGGAGAGTGCTTGGACGGGGCGCCCACAAGACTCGTGATTGGCCACTAGCGGGGCTGGTGCGCTAAAACGTTCAAGGTACCGCCTGTAAAACCAGCAACGCAGGGCCTGGAGCGGTACACATGTGACGGGCAGGCGAAGTGTTGGAATGGAAGTAACACTGGAGCCTTTGGGCTGCATTGCATCCACCTGGCGCTGTGACCCCTACCTTACCACCTGCCCAGGGACCTACCACCTACCCATCCCTCGGCGCTTGGGGAGCACGGTGTCGTGGTCATACCTACCTGGTGCCTTACCTACCAAGGTAAGGTAGAGAGAGGTAGTGCCTCCCTAGGTAAGGTAGTAGGTACCTAGCAACCTCGTCTTCCTGCCTCGCGGCGTCCGATTAGGCAACAATCGAGATCCGCAGGATGCATTTTATTGTCTGCTTCGACGACGACATTGTCTGGCACTCGCCCACTTCATCAGACACTGCTGGGTGATCGCCATTTCTTTTTTGAGGTTCCCTCCCGACAAACATGCGGGCAATGCACATGCCACCGAGAGGCTCCGGCAGGGACGGGAATGGAAGCCAGTTTCGCCATTCGGACGTGTTTCACTGAGACGGAATGTCTCGACCGGCCTTGCTTGGCCACGTGATTGTCGTTCTTTAGCGGCAACTCACCAGTTCGCTAAAGTAAGGTAGCGTACAGTAGGTACGTTAGGTACCTGTACCTCTAGGCAAGGTACCTAGGCAAAAGTATGGTACAAAGGCGTTTTTGGTATGATTGGTAGACGGGCCCAATACAGTAGACATGATGGTCTTGATCATTGGTTGCTACCCCATTACCATGGAGAAGAGAGATGAAGCATGAGAGTGAGTTAGCACGACATTACTTGATGTACTTAACACTTTTGTCCTTGACAAATCCTAGACATGTCTGTGATCTTGCGGCATCTTGGGACGATAAGCGCTCTTACGCGCCCTGACGCGGCAATTGGCGTTTTCGAGGCGGGCTAACCGGTCGTTGGTCACAACTACCTGTCTGCCCACCAACGTAACATGTCAATCATCTCTACCCCTGTCTGCGCGAAACCTGAGGATTATTGCCCATGAGCTGAGAACCAAGCTCTCTAGACGTCTTTTTGCCTACAAAGGTCCTACCAGCTACCACCAAAGCCCCCTTTCTCTCCGAGTCGAAGCTTTGACGAGCGTAGCTGCAATCAACAGTTGTCTTTGACTCTCGTGTTGTCGGGCCCGTCCAAACCCTCCGAGTGGGCTCAGTCATTCGCAAGGCCGAACTGAGTGAGCTTTACCAATCTTCGCGTCGACAACAAGCGCACGTTGCCGTCAGATTTCTCCGTCCCTGACAGCTACCAGGGGGGCAGCATTTTCAGGACAGATGCCACCGCTTGTCCAACGTAGAGTGTCACCAGCTGCTCCTGCCTCCGGCCTCCACTGGAGTCAAACCATCGTTTTACGATCAATTCCACCCCTCACAGACGGCACCCTTCAGGTCTTTCTGTGCCCCAACTTCCATCAACAATCGCTCCTCCAGCACCCCGGACAAATCACCACCCTGCGCTCGCAACTGACACCTTCCTTTCAGGAGGCGCACCAGTGATGAACGCTAGATATGGCCGTCTGCAGTTGAAGTATTGTCACCTGGCAGCTACATTTGTTCTGACGACCAGACTTCTGTCTCATTTCTCCTCGTTGAGGTGAACCAGGGAAAGACTTCGCGGGGTTCTGATAACCATCAGCGAAAATGCCGACTGCAGCTGCAAACAGGACGATGGGCAGGGGAAGTAACGCCGCTTCCGCATCACCTACAACGGCCGACGATGAACTTTCTGACAATGAGTCCATCAACTCAACCATCGTCAGCCATCCCGACTCGGATACGCAGTGGAACTTTGAGAGAGTTCTCTCCGAAGCTCCCAACGAAGACGGTGACCCATGGTACCTGATCCAATGGACTGGATACGATAAAGATGAATGGACTTGGGAGCCAGAGACAAACATCACCACTGTCGGTCTTCAGGAGTGGGCAGAGATGAAAGCCAAGATTGACCGGGGCGAGGCCGAACCATTCGATATCGAAGCATGGGTAGTCGAAGCCGCCGCTATGAAGGAAGCCAAACAGGCGGCCCAACTAGAGCGTCACAGGAAGCGCAACTTGAAGCGCAAACGTCAGGGCATGCCGATGAATCTGTACGACGACGAACAGGAGCAGGACTACGACACGAGTGACGCTGAGGTAGGCGGAGATGACGATTTCAACGATGTTATCCCGCCGCCACGGCAGACAGGCGCGTCCGAACCGCAACCCAGGCCGCGTGCCCAACCCAATATTGGTGGCCCCTACAGCGATCTGAAGCCCAAACGCAAAGCTCCTGCCGAAAAGGCAGCGCATCAAGATCGCCCTGCACCTCCAAAAAAGACCTCGACCCGCCGGGAGCCAACAGTTCCGACAAGCACTGGATATCAGGGCACAGCCCGAAAGGCTTCCTCATCCGCGCGTTCCATGCCATCACATAACCCATTTACCACCGCTAGCCGGACGGCCAACAAAACCAACCCAGCTCACCCCGAACCTGATATGAAGAAAGCCAGGAGGTCGGCGGGGGAGAAGACCACGTGCCGCACCGCAACCGGCAATGTATTTATCAGTGGCAAGAAGGTACAGACGCGGCCTAAGTTTACTGACGCCATGGTCGACCCTACAAAAGAGGCCAGGCTCTTTCACAATTATCAAACTACCCGAAAGGCTGAGCTCAAGATAAGGGATATAGCAGACAAGGCACCCGGAAACATCCGTCAACTTGGGCTTTTCAACATTAGTACCGGTGTTGCAGAGACACACACTCCCAATGCCTCCGGGTCCGGGAAAACTCCTGTTGAGGCTTCCCCAGTCCAGGAGAGGAGGTCCTCTCTTGAGGTAACGAAATTATCGCTCAAGAAATTGACATACAGCGAAGGGTTTGACAACGACAAGCCTCAGGGGGAACGCCTTCGAAAGAAATCCCGTTCTGTCCATTTCACTGGAGAAACACCCAGCAGCGAGCACTTGAAGCCGGGGTTCAGCCACAACCCCAAGGACTCGTCGTCGGTGAGCGAACATGAGGCAAGCGATTCCAACGATGGAGAACTCTTCGTTGGAGGACCATCTAGAGGGCTGCCATTACGCCCGTCTAATACGCTTGCCACCGATTCAACACCCAAAAAGATTCTTTTGAGGGATGCCCTCAGCAGAAACCGGACACAAACAGTCCGAAAAAGAATCATCCTGGGTCCTGCTGACTCCCAAGAGGTGGACGTGGTTTTTGATGACGTGCCAAGGACCGAAGAGCCTTGGGTTCGTCAGTTCATCGACACGAACCCGTTAGTTTTTGACAGAATCTTTACAGCTAAAGACTTTGAATCCCAGTGTAAACAAAGTCTTTCGGCCGGAGTCTTGGTACATGGAACACTTCGTTCGGACGACCAGACTACCAATCTGGAAAGCGCTGCTGATTACCTTCGATCTGGTTCCTTCGGCATCCTCTACTCCAACACCAGCTTCTGTGCCATCGCATATCCTTCTCAATGCGAGAATTGGAAAGCCTGCTTTCCCGGTGCCGAGTCCAAGACTTCACCCGGTGCTATGATGAGGTACACGGTGTTCAAACCGGATTTCCCAGCGGCACAGCCGCTCATTGTGACTGGCGGTGTCTTGCTCAAGGCCGTGGCCAGCAACCGAGTCAACATTATGCGGACCATGTTTGGATTCAATTACGACGAGCTTCTGCCAGTACGGTCATTAAGGGAGCCACACCGGCATAATTTTTTTCTTGCCTTTCCCCCAAACAAGGACCTGATGCTGAATAGTGTGGCGGCTTGGCTCACGGAAGCAAACCCGGACTGCCAACTCTTTTCGACCCAGAGAGCTGGTGATTGGCGCGCATTTGCTGACTTGGAGCGCAAACAGAGCGGAACCATCATTCTACACGAAGCTGTCACGCCCTTGATCAGGCTTTTCCCTGGTATTGGCTCATTACTTCACGACATGAAAAATGCTGCATACTCTATCTGGGAATTGGGAGAGGCCATGCAGGTTCATCCACCAATGCCATCAATAGATGAACAGTCTTCAAAGCCTGGTCAAATCAGGTTGACAAGACTTTTGCCCCATGGCAGTGCTGTCCTCCTCACACCAAGCTTCTTTCTGACCCAGCCGTTGCAAGCCACTAGCCTTCTATCGTGGTATTCGAAACGCATAGCCACGCCTATGTTTCATGTCACGCTCGTTGTTAGCGAGTCCATTGTTGACTTCCTGCAAGATCTTGCTCACGAGAAAACATCTCAAAGGGAGACACTGTTCTCGCGTCAGCCAAGACATTCAAGCTTGGAGGCGCTCGAGTTACAGGCAAAGCAGCAAGGTATCACCCAGGAAGATTGTGCCGCTAGACGTGAGGCATTGTCGATAGTTCTCGACCTGATTGGATCTGCCAAAGGCCAGCTCATGGATGAAGTTCAGGAGCCTTTCATCTATGTCAACGATTGCATCGACGCCAACGATGAACAGAGTCTAGGGAATTGGTTCGGTTACTGGTCTCTGACCAAACTGGATTCGTATCGGAAGTTCCACATTTTAGGATCTCACGAAAATGATTATAGCCGGTCTTCTCGGGACATACGGATTCCGCGCTATGCTGCCAGGACCACGGGAGATCCTGAACTCGCCTTAGCCCAAGCCGGGGAGACTCAAGCCGCTGCTCAGGTGCCGCCTGCGCAGGACGATTCTGGCGCCCGGTCTCAGATCCTAGGCAGGGCGGGCGGTGAAGATTTCGCCCAACATCTTTCAAGCTACCAGTTTGCGCACGTTCGAGGGTTTATGAAGCTCTACTCGTATTGCGTATCATGGTTCAACGACAGTTTCCAGATGGCGGATCACTTTGGTGACACGACCTGTAGATTCGAAACCTACCGAAATTGGTTCAGCTTTACTAATCCCTTTGCCAAGCCAAGAGGTTACAACACCTACGTTGCATTCTTCTACACAATAGAAGGGCCATGGGATCCGGCAGCGTATGCCAAGGATCGATTGCCTGAACGACACCCCTGGATCGGCATTTGGCGAATTGTTAATCCACACCAACAGCCCTTCAGGGCTACGGAGCTTCTCATCTGGGACATTGCAGCACCTCAACGTGTTGCGAGCGATCGATCGGTGCATGTTGGGAGCCTCTTGCCGGCCCAAAAAGCGTTGGTGGACTTTGTCAAGGAGAATTCGGCGGAAAAGAACCCTAGCATGGCGTTCCAGCGAGTCTGGCTCGGCGGTTTTGACCCCCCGCGCCTGGAGCGCACCACCGTCCTCGATAAAACCTTGGAGATGCTGGAGATCATGCTGAGTGACGCCAAGCAATGGCTACCTGCCCCCGAACATGTGTTGCCAGTTAGAGGCTGGCGCAAAGTCAACATGCAGCATGAAGCACCGGCTACAGACCTCGTCGAGCAACAAGGCAAAGTCGAGGACGACTCCCCTGAAAAGATGGTATTCCACGCCCCACGTGGTAATGGGCTACAGGGGGGGATTGGACAAAGTAAATGCGGCAACGTGCTATTCCAGGAAGTCTCAAAGTTCCGACAGACAGACAAAACACGCAAACACATGCCGTACAGATTTCCGCCGACGATGGAGTGGTACACACGGCAGAAAGCAGAAGGTCGTCACTACGAACACATCAATGTGGACTCATGGGAGGGCATGTTTGCACGTATGGGGATCCCATCTGCTGGCGGCAAGCCGACACATCACAGGGAAACTTACGAGGCCGAGAGCAGCTCTGCGTCCGCTCAGACAACGCCCAGTCACTAGAAGCGCTGAGGCAAGCCTATGCTGGACTTCCCTGGATGGCATGGGTGAGGGTGGGCTGTTGCTGTTGCGTTCGATGATACTTTGCAAGTAGTGAAGAGTGAACAGGGGCCAGGCGTCGCTTTCCATTATCGAGATTTGGACGTGGCGGCCTTGCTGAATACCCTTGGAAGTTATTCTTCTCTTGATGTTGCCGGTATTGACTTGACCATGTCCAATAATGGAGGATAAGTGTGTGTTAGAAGAGTTGCTTGCCTCGCCTTGCGCCATGCGATGTATTCGCTCCAGTTCTTGTGGCGGTAGCTTTGAAAAGTGTTAAAGAGTAAATAAAAATTGTTGATCGCACGCATACTTATTCATGAGACACAATGCCAAAAAAGAATATCCAGAACCGCCACAACCCGTGGGTATCTCCCTAGGTATTTTACAAAACCGCCTCGTTGCTCCATCTTCCACACAGCCCCTCCGTGCCAACCACCTCACCTCGACGAGGCGGGGAAATTGCGCGTGCTCAGCATGACGCCCTTGACGCGGCGGATGTTGTCCTTGGCCTTCTTGATCTCGTCCTCGGGCTCCTTGCGCCCCGCCGACGACCCGTACAGCGAGAAGCCGCCGACAAAGTCGCTCTGCTGCTGGGCGCTCGGGAACGTCAGCTGGCCGAGGTCGTCCTTGAGGAGGTCCATGGCCGTCTTGACGTCGACGAGGTCCTCGCTCTGCGTGACGTAGGCGTCCTTGAGGCCGCGCAGCGAGGCCGTCAGGTCGGCGAGGCGGCGGGCGTGGGCCTCGGGAGCGGCGGCAGCAGGCGTTGCGGCAGCGGGGGTCGCGGCGAGGGGCCCGCCGGGGGTCGAGGGCAGCGACGTCTGGACGCCGACGTCGCGGTGGAAGAGCTCGGTCGGGTCCTCGGCCTCGCTGCCCGTGTCGTCTGCGTAGGCGGCGTCGGGCTTGGGCGGGGCCTTGGCGGGGAGTTCGGAGACGGTGGCCTCGAGCTTGCGCACGAGGGCTGCGAGCTTGTCGGAGGTTGTGGCGTGGAGGTCGACGCGCGCGGCGGTCAGGGACGCGACCATGGGGGCCACGACGTACTGGGACGTGCCGTAGAGGAGGGTCGTCAGGCCGGCGCAGGCGTAGAGCGTGTTGAGGAGGGCGGTGCCGGTGACGAGGGGTGGCGGCCGCGTGGGCTTGGTGAGGAACTCGGGGTAGGTGATGACGGGGGGGCTTTCGTCGTGGAAGTCTGGGGCGATGCTGCTCTGTGGCGCCGCCGAGGCTTGTGGTGTTGGTGGTGCTGGTGGTGCTGGTGGTGCTGGTGTTTCGGCGGATTGTGTAGGTTGTTCGTCTTGCGCTGGTGTCGCGATCGTGGTTGGGGTGTCGGCTGGGCCTAGGAGCTTTTCAATATCGGCCTCGTCGAGTCCTTTGGTCTTGAGGAACTCGAGCTTTCGTTCGCGCGAGGCGTCTTTGATCTCGTCATCTTGGAGGAAGCGTCGTGCGACCTCGATGGGGGAGGAGTTTGAGGAGGGGCCTTGGGCAGCGGATGATGATTCTGATGATGGTTGTTCGGATTGGTCGCGCTTCTGCCAGGACGGGATGCCCGAGCTCTTGTACTCGTCGGAGCCACCCATGCTTGACTTTTGGCGAAGTGGTGAGTGTTCTAGGTGCAAGAGACTCTTGGAGATTCTAGGTGCAAGAGACTCTTGGAGATTCAAGAAGGTGCCAGCTTGAGATTGGAGAAGATGGTGCTGCTTGAAGCTGTCGGCAAAGGCGACCACATGCCTCGGCTGGAACCGAGCAAATGCTGGGGAAACGGGGTCTCAAAGGGGAGCTTCCGTTTTAAACTGATGTTAAGTGAAGATGGTAAACGGTAGGGAGAGCAGCACGTGCACAAGAACGGAGCCTGTCTTGTCACCGTTCAAGGGAGGTCAAACAGCTCCAGAATGTCCAGAATGTCCAGCGCGAGCACTTCATCATCGATTGACCCTGATGTCAACCTCTTCGGCTTGAGCATTTAGCCTTTCCATCGTCAAAGAGAATTCACTTCTGCGTCGCTTCATCATTGACTTGGATACATAGCTGGGCATCGATACTCGAAATATCCAAGACCAGACGCGCAAGGAAAGGAAAACCACTCTACACAAAGTGAGGTGGTGATCTCCCCAATCGCCCAAGAAAACCCCGAAGCAAAGAGTGAGTGTGAGCCCGCGGCGGCCCGCTGCATTCGGCGGCATCCCAGGTCATCCTATGCTAAATCGATGCCAGAGACTACGAGTCAGCACTCGTGGCGACACCGAAAGGAGAAGACACGCAGAGCCCCAGCGAGGTACAGTACATTGGTCGGGACGGCAAAGGACGATCCAGATCCAGTCCAGTCCAGTCCAGTCCAATCGACTGCGCCAACGCCAACAAACGCTGGGCCTTGCACCTTGCACCTTGCACCTTGCACCTTGCACCTTGCACCTTGCAATTCGCCTTGACCAGCCAGCCACGCCACCGCTGTCCTGTCCTGCCCTGTCCTGTCCTGTCCTGCGCCTTGCCATTGCCGCGTCGCACCTCACGGGAGCAATCGACGAGTTGCGTTGGCAGTTGTCGTGAATCACACCCCCTAGAGGTCCCTAGAGGTATGTCAAACAGAAAAGAACAGAACAGAACCTTGTGTATTCCTGTCAATGTCCTCCTGCGCTGCTTGCCCTCGCCTTCCCCCCTTGCCGCCGTGTCACCTCAAATCCTCACCACCATGGCGAAACTCTACCCCCAAAACACCATGTCGCAATCACACGCACGTCTTTGGCTCCTTGCGACGAGTGAGACGCGAAGACGCGAAGACGCGAAGACGCGAAGACGCGAAGACGCGAAGACGCGAAGACGCGAAGACGCGAAGACGCGAAGACGCGCTGTCTGCTGGCGGACTGGGAAGTGACTGTGCCAAGGAATCGCGGTCAGGAGGAGATGGCGTAAAGTTGATGAGGTTCTGGTCCGGATCCCCCATGCTTGCCTCATGTGGTTGACGCTCCTGGCGGATCGAGAAGGACGGGATCTAGCCTCCATCTCGGACGCTGTGCCTGGTGCCTGAGCGGCCTCTCTCTCTATGCCTCTCTCCCTGCCGGCATTGGACTTTACATCCCCGGCCATCCACAAAGACGGCAAACCCCTTCTGCCCTCTGCCCTCTGCCCTCTGCCTTCTGCACCCCTCCCCGTGCCTACCCCAACACCTCACATCATCACTCCCGCTCACCCCTTGTCTGTTGCCACGGTACGGTCTGCCCTTATTACCTCATCCTATCAAACGTCTCGGAAGCTTATCCCAAGGCTGAACTCCCAACTCCTGTACAACCCCACCATCATTCTTCCCCTAGACTTCCATCACACGCTCACCTCAAAGGAACTGCAACCTTGGCCCCCCTCCCCCCCTCCCCCTCCCCCTCCCCGCGACGACGTCTCGTCAACGTTCCTGCGCAACCCCCCGCCCACACAAGTCGAGACCTTGTGACGAGATTCCTCGCAAACATCACTCACAGCGCGCAAAGCTGCGCGCTGGACAGCAACAAACATGACATCTCGACCGCGTCGATCAGCAGCCAAGAAGGCTCGTGAGGCCATCACTGACTGAGCCGACAGCGAACGGACACCCACCATGTCGACCCGATCACGGCGACCGGACGGCGCCTCGAGCGGTCGCACCTCGGGCGTCACCAGAGACCCGCCCTCCTCGCCCGGGCACGAGTCGCTCACCCTGACGGTCAAGGTCCCCGCCAACAAGCTGCGCGAGGCCACGTCCGGCAGGAGTCGCAACGCGGGCGCCGGCTCGCTCCACGCCCGCGAGAGCTTCGTTGGTGGCGAGATCATCGCGGGCAAGAGGAACCGCGGCGCCAAGAAGAGCTACGTCGTCGAGTCGGACAGTGACGAGGAGGAGGAGGAGGAGGACGACGACGAGGAGATGGCTGATCTGGGCGACGATGACGATATGGAGGTCGACGCCGACGGTGACGAAGACGAGGAGGATGAGGAGGACGCCGATGGCGACGCTGATGGCGATGTCGACATGGACGCCACGCCTGCTCACCCCACGACGATTAAGATTCAGACGCCCAAAGCGAACAAGGTCACGGTGCGCCGACCAGCCGCGGCCCGTGTCGTCGAGGAGGAGGACGAGGAGGACGATGACGACGAGCTCAGTGATCTGGAAAGCGACGCAGAGGTCGACATGAGCATCAACGTCGTCGGCGACGTCGGCGACGAGGACGACGACGAGGAAGACGAGGAGGAGGACGCCGAGGGCGAGGAGGAGGATGCCGAGGGCGAGGAGGAAGAGGAGGAGGAGGAGGAAGACGCCGAAGGCGAGGCCCGATGAGACGATGGACGTGACCCTCGCCGCAGCCGAGGACATGGACAGCGACGACGACGGCAGCGAATCGAAGGAACCCGACGTCAACAAGATGACGAGACGCCAGCGCGCCCGCTTCGAGGACGAGCCGCAGGAGTACATGAAGCTCTCGGACGAGGTGCAGGTTAAGAAGCACCTGACGGCCGAGGAGCTGTCGATGCGCCGGTCCGAAATGGCGCGGAGGCGTCGCAACCTCAGCGAGAAGCGCAACGAGGAAGTCAAGGTACGACGCTCCCTTGCGCGTCGTCGAGAAGACGGCACGTCGTCGAGAAGACGGGGCTTGCTGACGCGCGTGTGACAGATGGAAACCATCAACAAGCTCCTCAAGAAGCAGGCGCCCAAGACGAATCGCAAGGCACAGGAGAACCAGGCCGGCGACGACAAGCCCGATGCCATGTTCGTGCGGTGGGTCAGCACCAAGGAGGGCAGCCGTATTGCCGTGCCGGACGAGATGCTCGGCGGCTCGGCCGGCAAGGTGTTTGGGGCGCCGGGCTTGCGCACGGGCAGAATGGTCGAGGAGGTGCAGTGATGGGCTTGGTTACAGTGTCGGCGCCTTTGTACACTCGGGGGCATTGTTGGCGCCTACGGGACATGGTGGGTGGTGAAAGCCAAGATGGGGAGTACTGGTGAGATGACGAAGAGCTGCATCGGTATCAGCAGCATCAGGACAATGCAAAATGAACCATTTGCTTCTTACGCCTGTGCATTCGGCAGGCTCTTGTGCTCACCGCCTTCATTGTACGAGTACGATTTCAGGAGCAACTGTCTATCATATTGGGTGATTGGGGGAGAAGGCTCCTCAGTGTAGGGTTCTGACTGGTATGTATCCCCCTCCCTCCGCATCTGTTGCAGAGACGCAGGGGTAACCACTTCGCAGGGCAACTCAAGTGATGGATACCGTCGCCGCGGCATGTTATTACTTCCTCAATGCGCTTCTCTCTGGCGTGGCGAAGGACAGCCCAGACTGCAAACCAACGTTCCGCCAAATCTCCACCACCGAAGACTCGAGCCCGAGGGCCCGAGTCCCGCGCCACGTGATGGTTGCGTGTGAAGTTGCTGCTAGATAGAGGCGCTAGCGTCGTCTTCTGTCGCCATCCACAGGATGAGAAGCCGCAGCTTCGCCATCTGCAAAGCAGTTCCCAGCCCTGTGCAGCATATCGGACATGCTTCGGCGGCTCCGCGGAGGCTATAGCTGGGGGACGTGAGCGCTAACCTCTCAAGGCTTGGCCACGTCGAGACCGCTGTGCAGGCTCGGAAGAAGTCTTCGGCGTTGATCAGGCAGGAGTTGGTGAGGGTTTCGAGGCTGAGGCTTGAGCGACGAGGTGAATTGCCGAGTCGAACACGGACAGCACGTTGTAGCCCTTTATATGGACCCTATCGGCTCCAAGTGCCGAGGTCACCGCATTGTCGAAATTGTGAAGAATTGGCCGTGTCCTGTTTGTGTGGGGAATGTTCTTTCGAAGACGGCTTTCCAGATCTACACGATGGAATGGTAAGCAGGAATGTCGAAGGAGCGGCAGGAGGGTACTTCCACCGATCGCTGCTCGTTCTCGGGGCGCTTCGACTAGGCTCTTGGATTCGAAGACGAAGCGTTCTAGGTAACAGAGGGGTTGTATTAGCTTTCGGAGCTCGAACGGGAAAACCCATCTCCTTGTGTTCCTCCGTATGATGTTGCCCCGATGACCAGAGCAGGAATGAACGATCATACGTCAGCCAGGTCAAGCCTTTGATGCGGCCGTATATAGATAGGCTCCTGGTGGGGGCTGTTGGCCTTTCTCCCAGCCATGTGGCGGGTCATGCCAGTTTGGGCTATTCTCGTCTGGAGAATCCTTGTCCGTGTCACTATCGACGGAGAGAAGGAGAGATTCTTGGGCCAGTGTAGCAAATGGCCAGGCGAGTGCACGCTCTACCCCATGTCCGAGCTGTTGTGACTTCCAGCTGGCGAAAGCCGAGTACACTTCTCGATCGTGACGCCGATGTCGAGACCGATCATAAGACGTCTGTCTGCCCTCTGGCAAGAGCGACATGAATACCGTGGCAGTCGGACATCGAGCAATATATGGCGAGTGGAGCGCCTCGGCGGACCATGTTGCTTGAGGACCATGTTGCGAGAGGTCGTTCAGGCACGACACTCGCAGAGCGCTCCGACCAAGGATGCTTTTCGCAATGCCGAGCTGCCACTCTCTACTCTCTACAGACAGGGGAATACTGCCCAGCCAGGGATCGTTGATGGACAAAGTCCTCCAGGATGGGCGAACGGATTTCTTCGGGGAAAAGGGCCACTTGAAGGTGCCTTGCTGCCCGAACTGTGTTTCATGGCTGGGTCATGGCTGGGTCATGGCGAGGAAAGCTTGGGACGCTTGGGACGCTTTGCAAGAGGCTGAAGAAAGATGCCGATGGCAAATGAGATTCGAAATTGGTCAAGAAGTATTATAGCTACGTACCTAGGCAGGGTAGGAGCTATGCGCCTGAAACTAGGCACACAAAGAGCATCTCCTCAGCAGAGACATCAAAAGTTCGCCACGCGACGTACCTGCGAGATGCCACTATATAGAAGAGGTGCCAGCTGAAGACTGCAATGCCCAAACATGTCTGCAGCTTCGTCCTGCGCCCAAACGTGACTCAATGGACAGCGGGGGCAACGGGAACTGAAAAGGCAGTACCTGAATAACCAGAATAACCCGTGACGACGAAAGTCTTGGTGATTCGCGATTTTCTCTCGTAGCCAAGGACACGGGCTGCCAGCCTCGATGGGTAGCAGCCAGCAACCGAAGGCTTTTGCTGTGACCTGTACCATCAAGATGCTCACGTGGAAAATCACAGAAGTATAGGGAAGATCCAAAATGAAGAAGGCGGACCAGCCCGCCAGGTCTGCATTACACCAGTGTCATGAGCTGTCGTCCTTGGAGCCCCCCCTATCCGCCGCCGGGCTCTTGGCCCTCCCGACAGCCGCGTCCCCCTCGTCCATGCACGCCTGCACGTCCGCGCCGCCGACGCCGGCGTCCCTCCACACGACGAGCAGCCGGCGCGGCATCTCCCACTGCCGCTGCGCCTCGAGCACCTTGCCGTCGGCCACGAGGCGAGGCGGGGGGGGAACCAGCGCGGTGGGGCGGGGGAGGCGACAG